TCTTATAAGAATTTAATACTAATCTACACCTATTAAAAAAGCCACTCTTATATTAATAACTTCTGTGGTTACATAGATATGAGACTACAAAATTATGTATATAAAGTATAGTGTAACTTCCTTTGTATACATTACACAGACTCAATTCTTGGATATACTGTAAATATATAAGCTCTACTATTATTACAGTATTAAGAGTTTAGAGTATCATAAATCTTAGTCAGAGGAAACTGTTGTATTTTTTATTAACAAATAGTACACAAATACACAAGTAATTGATATATTTAACATTGCATTTGTGTTATGAATGAGTTCCAACTAAATTTACATTAATTTTAAAGGAATAATGAAGAAATTTGGTTAAGAATTGAGTAAGATACAGAGGAAAGTGTGTGCTCACTGTATGAGACAGTGAGCTCAAGGTGTAGCAGATGGGGAGGGCACAGTTGCCATATAGGGCACTCAGCATACTTATTTTATTTTATTTTATTTTGACTTAGAATTTTTTTGTACATTTAAGTCTAGTATTATTAACAGTACAGGGAAATAATGAAAAAGGGGCCTAATTAGAAGGACTATAAGGGTCTTATACCCCCTCTAATTAGGTTCTGTAGAGTATGTACCTTAGGTGCTTACAGTCCGACAACAGTGGTACAGGATAATTTATCTTGTTAAAAATAGCACACAGAAATAAGAGGACTATAGCTGTTTGGAAATTAGATGATGTCGAGCTCTCGCCCAGGTAGATAGGAATAAAGCGCCTTGTATCAGGCCAACTTGATGACTTTCTGCAAGTCCATGATTGACCATAACTGCTTTTCCCGTCCGGATAATTCGGAGAGACATGACGGCTGTTACACCCTTTCAAACCCATCCATGTCTGTTTATCCACAAAATTTTTCCTCATATTGCGCTTAAACCTGGTTATTTAGATACTCCGACTTTCGTGACATAGATTAATACTGATTCTCCGATGTTACTGTCCGAATATTTCGCACCAAGGTTCCGGCATTAACGCTGAACTCTTGCTTTTGACCGTCTAATACCTACTTTTCCTGTCTGTATAAATACAGCGTCTATTGAGACTACATTTACAATAAACCCAAGACCAAGATGCAATTCTCTACTACCCTTCTCTATGTTAGCCTTGTAGTCAGTTCAGTGTCTGCATCGCTCTTCACTAGACAGGAGCAGGACCTCCCAGGTGAAGTTCAATTTTCTATCAAATATCCTGTCTGCAGCTTGAACTCACTTTGGATTTGTAAATTCCCATTCCATACTGAGTAGGATGTGCTAAGACTTGCATAGGAAATGCCCTCTCTGGCAGTGGGTGTGGAACAACAGATGCCAAGTGCCTGTGCAGCAACAACTCGTTCATTAGCAATATCTTGTTGTGTTTTGCTAGCTCATGCGGAGCACCAGATCAGACAACTGCAACAAGCTTTTTGCAGAAGCAGTGTGCAAGCATTGGAATCACCATTCCGACAAATAAGGAATAAGTGCCACAGAGCAGCTTCTGGAAATTGTTGGTGGTATGTGGCACATCCTAGTACATTTGTTTTGGAGCCTTTATTGACTCCCTTCCAGTTTGCTGGTGTTGGTGCTGTGGGTGGGCATCATTGTAGTGATTAGTTAAGAAATTGTATATCCTGCAGAGAATAGCAGAGACTGAGTGTTGTTTGACTGGATAGAAACCTCTTTCGTCGAGCTCGTCCTGTTTCTTGTATTTGGATACCTGCACAGTTCAAGAAGGCCATGCTTTGAAGGGAAAGCAAATTCAAAGCAACGATGGTCCACACCTTATCTTATCCATACGTGCACATTTCTGAAAATCGCACCGGTGACCAAAGTGTTATCGCACGAAAATACTCAGCAATGTGCAGGCGGAGTATTATGGCCTGGTTGGGAAAATCATGACTGAGCTGTCCTAGGCCTAGAATGCCCAGTGAGCGGAGATCCATAGTCTACAATTTTATATTACACTATCGATATTGATTTGACTGATACCTTACAACAATGTAGAGCCTAGCCCTGGTTCCAATAGATTTCCATCAAGTAACGGATGCCGACCTTGTACGGAGTGAACCCTTGTCGCCGCATGAGATGAGTTCTTAAAGTCCGAGTTTGATACACAGAAGAGAAGGCCTGACCGGAATGAGACGGGTGGACGTGTGAATACGTAGGTTATGAATTATACGTTAGATCACTCCCTGGATGCTCATCATCGTGCTTTGGAACACTCTCGTGCAGATACGGAGATCACTATTAGTACTATAAATAATGGTAGAAGAGTTATCGCCATGCACGTTCGTCGCTTTCGTCGGTCGAGAGTTTCGGTCGGAGATATTCACAGTCTGAGTAATAGTCGATGCTTAGTGAGCTTGGTGTGGTCGAGTCAAACCTTGAAACGATTGGGAACGGCCGCACGCCACCGACGAGGTACTCAGCATTTCGGTTGGCTTGGGCGATGCACCGCGGAGAAGTTCATTGTAAAGATAGATTCGGAAGACAGGGTCGCATTGCGGCCGAAACGAATTGTACGTGACTTGGATAATAGCGTCATAGATCACGAATAGCAAACGAATCTGTTGTAGTGCTTTTGGTGAGTAAGAGACATTTTTGAGGGATTTTATTTGTTCGCCACGACGATTTATCAAAGACCAAGAGAGTTCCAAGTAATGAGGGACGGGACGAATCCGGTTTTACGCGAGAGGACTTTGGAAGCGGCGCGGCGTCGGCCGTGACCTAGTAACCCCAACGCATATAGTGACCTCAGCTCAGCGTATTTAACCCTCCACCCTCGTTTCATTGCACTTGTCCCTCGACCTCCATCTCCCACTCATCAATCTCATCTAGTACTCATACCTGCAACATGGTAAGTCTGCACATCATAAGACAGATATGGTAAGCTCGCATCGATCGCTGACGATATGTGTTGGCTTTCAGGTCATCAAAGTCGGTATTAACGGGTAAGCTGTCTGACTTCGCCCACCCCGGAAATGTAGCCTTGTTCGGTATTTTGATACACACCTCTTTCGTGTTTCTCATATGTCAGGTTCGGTGAGTAACGATTTTTGGTGGTGAGTTTTGAAGAGTTGCTGATTGCCTCGCCGCATGTGTGGCGATAATGCGCAGGTCGTATTGGCCGTATCGTCCTCCGTAATGCTCTTGCATATTCAGAAATCGAAGTCGTTGCAATTAATGAGTGCGTAGTAAAATATCATCATGCTGGTTATCATGCGTTGACAAGAATTCCCGGAATTTGCCTATGTCGATATGTGCTACGCGCATATACTCAGCCCGTTCATTGCACTCGACTATATGGCATACATGTTCAAATATGATACCGTCCACGGACGTTTCAAGGGTGATGTCTCCGCTAAGGACGGCAAGTTCATTGTAAACGGTCACCAGATTACTGTGTTCGCCGAGAAGGACGCGAGTGCGATCAATTGGAAGAGCACTGGAGCAGAGTACATTGTAGAATCAACCGGTGTCTTCACCACCACTGAAAAGTACGGAGTCATACTTATGGACCTCCATGTCTCGCTAATCACGGATTTTTTCCCGCATATTTAATTAGGGCATCTGCTCACTTGAACGGCGGTGCCAAGAAGGTTATCATCAGCGCTCCGTCGGCTGATGCTCCGATGTTTGTATGTGGCGTGAACTTAGACGCATACAAGCCAGAGTACAAGATTGTATGTACAGGCACTTACAGAAATTTATCAGCAGAGATTGATGAGCTTCATTGCGTTAGATCTCCAATGCTTCTTGCACTACCAACTGTCTGGCACCACTTGCCAAGGCAATTCATGACAAGTTCACGATCGTCGAAGGTCTGATGACGACCGTGCATGCCACCACGGCAACGCAGAAGACTGTTGATGGTCCGTCGATGAAGGACTGGCGTGGTGGTCGTGGTGTAAACGGTAACATCATTCCGTCAAGTACTGGTGCCGCCAAGGCTGTCGGCAAGGTTATACCGTCTCTCAACGGCAAACTCACTGGTATGGCCTTCCGTGTGCCAACAAACGACGTGTCTGTCGTTGACTTAGTCGTCCGCATCGAGAAGGATGCATCTTACGACGAGATCAAAGCCGCGATCAAGGCTGCCTCGGAAAACGAGCTCAAGGGTGTCCTTGCGTACACCGAGGAGGACGTTGTGTCGACTGACTTCATTGGCGAGCCGGCATCGAGTGTGTTCGATGCAAAGGCCGGAATTTCTCTGAATAAGAACTTCGTGAAGCTGATTGCCTGGTACGACAACGAGTGGGGCTACTCGAAGCGTGTTGTTGATCTGCTGGTGTACATTGCGAAGAAGGACCAGGAAGCGGGAGTGTAATCTAGTGTTTTCCCTTTAGACGTCAGTCGTGGCGACTGCTGCAAATACAAGACGCAAGAAGGCAAACAAAACGGTGTCTGACGAAGCCTTTACAAGTACTGTCTGTTTTACATACATTTGTTCGCTAAAATCAAATTTTACTGTGTTGTATGTTTGGTGTACTCACCTGTTGAGCATTACATAATTAACTAAGCTATGACCGTGGGAAGACAAGTCACGGAAGCGGGATACGACCACCTTCATCTCGATCAGCAATTAATCCTAAGGCTGGACACTACCACCAGCACGACTGCACGACCTTCGCTTGCTTTCCTCCCCTCTGCATCTGTATTGTATCACCCTATGTCTCTGTAATTTCTATCCTGCTTCAATCATGTCATCTCACGAGTCTCAACACGAACCGGCGCGTCTCACAATTGAGACCACCTCGATATCAGAGGACGCGTTTCCGGATTTCTCAGACCCAAATCTCTTCTCTGCGAGCAGTCCGGCACTTTCGACAGACTTGTCCGGCGAGGTCCACTCCATGTCCGAGCGTTCCTCTATCGCGTCCCCGGGCGCGTCAAGTTCCCAATCTGCATCGGCAAATTCGTCTGGAAGCAGGTTTCTGTTGAATTTGCCCATGCCCGCGACAAACTCGAGTCAGACAAGCTTTACACTTTCCGAGGTCAGCGTAGGCGGTGACGATGGGGCTTTGGACAGTCTCTCTCCAGACATCGCGTCGGCAGACATCTCAATTTCGGGTATGTGTAGCCTTTCTCCTTTCACTATCACCATGTATCTGATTCATACATCTTCCCTCTTCACAACTGCAAACGGTGCCTTTATGACAATGTCCCGGCCAATGACGCGGCTCTTGGCTAATTGAATCCGGACTGCATGTCGGCGTTCGGAATGCAGCGGATGGCAGCTTCGTCGAGACGACGTCCGGCCCGGCTGCGCGTGAACTAAAACGCAGATATGACCAGCATTTAGGTGTTAATAGGGACATGCGCTCTCCATACGCCATTACGGCGATGATTAATCAACACGGGAAACAGGTAAGCCCGCTGCTGTGCCACTGAACTCTAGTGATTATTTCTCACTGGCTTGTACAGGTTTACCGTGTCGGGTGAGCATCGGATCTCTCTTGTCACACTTGAATACATTACTAATTCTCTATCAAGGATGCGAGCACAAGCTCAAGCTCAAGAACCATCGCCCACACCAGAATTGGAGCTATCTTCATTGAGAACATCGCCGCCCGCATCCCAGGCACAGAGAAAGCGAGTTTCCCGGATGAGTATCACCTCCGTGTTCAAGTACGCACAGCCGCAGCGCGCGCCTGAAGAGGTACGCGCTCCGTCGATGTCTCCCGGGGCCCCTTCAGGCCAGCCGCGGAAATTGCGGAAGCCACGTTCCATTCCGGATCTTACTTCCGCGACGGGAAGTTACTTTGGTGATGCCGTAAATTCTCAGCCACTCTCAGCGACGGGCCGTGCGCATTCACATAGTGTCACGGGTGCGGACATGCCTCGCCCGACGGTTCAGACGGCCGGCGTAGCAGAGACGCCTGCACGGCCTACGGGTGACGTCTTCAGCAACGTGATGGGTTGGTTAGGCGCGCCAGCGTCTCCAATGACGTCCAGTGGCATGACGCCTTCCTCGCACAGCCTATTGACGCCTAGCGACACACCATCACAGTCTCCGCTGGAGGTAGAATGCATAGAGCATCCCTTTGGCCAGAACGTTTCCTTCGACTCACCCTTTAGGAACTCGGCTATTTACCTGCCGTCGGTCATACGGGAGATGCAGTCGTTTGAATCTGCGAAGACTGCCCGTGCAGATCCTCATTCGCGGAGTCTCGACGCAGAAGTGCAGCCGGAGACTCCGCAGCAGCGTCCCGATTCGCTCGATTCACTTGCCTCCACCAGGACAGCCGACATGAACGGCAGTGCAAGAGCAGAATCCATCTCCGAGCCGCGGGCCGTGCCTTCAGAAGCGAGCTGTATGTTCACCCGATATCCGACGGCGGTATTTGACGTGATTCAGAATTATCGCGGACTGCCGATGCTCGACGCGCTTTCTGCGACGTCACGCCAGCCGACAATTAAGATGAGCTTGTCCACTCTGGACGGAGCTGTACCGCGTGACGACCCCCGGTTCGTCATTTGGGGCGAGGTCAGCGCATTGAACGACAGTGCAAGTGCTATTGAAAAGGGGTCACTCCCTGAGAGTGCTTCTGCACGCTCGAGACCGCAGTCACACACATTCTCTGTTCACTCGAGAAAGCGGAGTCTGAAGGGGAAGTCGCATGGACCCTCGGAGGTGCCTGAGCCGTCACCGGAGCGCGGATCTGAGGGCGGCTCGAGTGCTGATGGTGTGGAAAGTGCACAACGCGTGCTTATGGCAGCGACGATCGAGCGGTGGATAGCACAGCTCACGAGCCAATTCGACTATGACGAACTACTGATATTCTACTTGACATATCGGACATACATCGATTCGGTCGACTTATGTCATCTGCTAATATGCCGTTTCCACTGGGCACTCGAGGAACCAATGACTTCGCATGAAGTCATGGTGAAGCAAATCGTGCGCGTACGGACGTTTGTTGCCATTCGGTATTGGTTGCTTACGTTCTTCCGCGTTGATTTCTTACCCAACCGGGAGCTGTGTTTATTGTTCGCCAACTGGTTGAACACTCTATGGAGAGATCCTATTCTGGATAAATATAATGATGCTAGGGTGCGCGTGATTCATTCATCACTTTTTATAATTGGACACTGATTCTGTTTATTCAGAACATTGTCAAAAAGCTGAAGAAGGTAGCAAAGGACTGCAAGGACGCTCATTCGCGCGTGACCAAATCCAGTAAGGAGCCCGAGAAGAAGGGAAAGGTTATGCAGTCGATCGACAAGATCCTGGGAGATCTCTCGAACGGAGTTAACTTCGCTGCAACGCTCCGCAAAGTTAGCGCTGCACAGCATGAAGAAGAGGATTCCGACGTTGATCTGGACTTTAATCCGGATGAGAGCTCGCCCTTCTCTGATGTCGCTGGTGTACAAGGTTTCGCATCTTTTGCGAACCAACTTGGTCCTGGCGACGCGCCGTCGTCGACCGGTGCTGCCCAACCTGGGTCTGAGACGAGCGTTGCTCCTCCCAGCCGTCCGAGCAAGTCGGCGTCCCGAATATTGCTACAGCAACCTCTTCATTTGACGATATTACAGCATGCCCGCACGGTTCAGCCAGGAGCGGCTCTTCCACTAATTGGTGCTCCGTCATCAATGCCCGTTCACCATACCTCGCCTCTTTCTCGCGCAGTCGTCAGAACTATTGGCCGTCTCGGCCGCTGGAAACGCGTTCTAAGCTCACGGGCTCCGGCGACGCCTTTAAGCCCAACTGACGATGGGCCCCATGCATTTGACCTTGAATTGAACGAAGCCGGCGATCTTCTCCACGTGCGAGGTGGGGTCGAACAGTATCTGAAGATGATCGATCCAGCACCCGTGTCGCCAGTATCACCAGTATCACCGGTATCACCTAGTAACAGTATTCCTGAGGTACCACATGTAACCGTATCAAAAGCTTCTAATGGTACACAGGAAGAGCCTCGGCCTTTATCTCCTTCCCCGACCCCGTCACCTCAAGACACGGAACCTGCTACAAGAACACCGCTAGCATCACGTGCTGAGCTCCGACCTGACAGTCCTGCCTCCAATGGGGACGTTACTTTGTCTCAGAGCCCAGCAGGAGGCTTTGTGCATAAGTCTCTGTCTCGCGTACGCTCCTCGGAGCCTGCAGAATCGATTCGGTCTGGTTCATCTGGTTCCCTTCGTTCGTTCGAGACTACGTCGTTCTTGGGTAATCCTATTCCTAGGCAAGAGCGGTTGTTCCCTGATGTAGTGTCTATTGACGATCTTGACTATCTGTCCGATAACTCGTCTGAGAAGAGTGGACCAGCTATGCCACCTGGTCTTCGCCCCACGAAGCGGTTGCCGAACCGTCGCGACTTCGAGTTCGTGCATCGTTCAGTTGACAGTGTCTCATCCATGGGGATAATTTCCAGAGCTTCCGTTGCCATGTCGGAGCAGCCAGATTCTGCACGTTCGTCAGTCTCATCACCGCGGGGACTCGGAAACGCCTTGCAACAGTGGCAGGTAAACGCGTTGATTGACGATCTTTCTGATGATGAGGGAGATGCAGGTGACGCGGAAGCTGCACTTCGCCGACTTGAAGGACAGATTAATCCGAATAAGCAGCGGCATAAGGAAGCGAAGGTAGATGGGTGGGTACGAACTATCCAAGAGCGGATGGCCGCTGGTGATTTTGGTGACGAACAGCCTCGGAATTTGTTCCCTGATGAAGAAGAAGACGATGACGATGCTACGTATGTTTCTGATGAAGAGTACGGTTCGGAGAACAGGAGGCAAGATGCTTCGATCTCCGAGGAGGATGCGACGGTGTCTCTCCCGCGGTCATCGTCAGATTCTGAACGTCCGACCGACCTGTCGATGGGGACCAATGGACATATTGGTCTAGAGCCTGTTACGCCAACTCCGAGGCAGACACAGCACCAGATGAATGCTCATGTTGGACACCCTACATCCGAGGCGAAGCCTAGGATCGACGAAGCTGTGCCAGAAGAGATACTTCTCAGCCGTCTCCCGTCCCGTAATACGACTAATGAACCAAATCCGAAATCCTCACCACCTCAGGGTGCGGGCCATCCTACGTTCTCCATCGCGAAAGTACCATCTACTCCATCTCATCGCTCCTTCATCCTACACTTCCGAGCTGAATTGCTAGCACAACACTTCGCCGTCATCGACAAAGAGATCTTCCTCGGAATCAAGTTTGAAGAACTCGTTTCTGATGAATGGTTGTCCACCACGGAAGATTTCAATGTACGAGATTGGATGCAATTTTTGCGGGATCGGAGGAGGAAGGCAGAGCTACGTGGGAAGGGTAAGGTTAACGTCCTTTCAGCTGCAAGAGCACGGTTCAACCTTGTTGCGAATTTTGTTGTATCGGAGGTTGCCTTGACTAACCCGCATGACCGAGTATATGTTGTTAGCAAGTTCATTCGAATTGCTTGGGTACGTCGACCTTCTCACGTTATGTTTATTATTTACGCTGACTATTACATCTGAATTTTATTCTATGTGAGCAGAAGGCGTATACTCTGAACAACTTCGCAACACTGGCAGCCATCATCTCGGGTTTAAGCAGCGAATGGGTACGCAAAGCGATGAAGCGATCCTGGAATCGAGTGGGTAGATGGGAGACTCGAGTGTTCGAGGACCTGAGGGCGTTCTGCACGAGCGAGGACGATTTCCGGTATATTCGCCAGGCGATTGCAGCATTAGTAAATGCTAAACCGCTGAGTGCTGGTGCACAAGAGGACTCCACAACAGCGAGCACTGGACCCTCCGATATTGCACCGTCAAGCACGAAGAGCAGAGCTACCGCAGATGGAAAGGCAGATACACCAACTTCGTGTGTCCCATTCATCGGTAAGCGAACTTTATTAACTGTTTCTGTATGTTAATTATCTGACTAACAATATCTCGTCACTCTCGTCATAGGTGTCTATTTATCTCAACTGCACCGCTACAGCCGCCTACCCGATCTCATCGACCCATCTGCACCCACCGAAGCAGTCGAGACAGACCGGGAGACAGGGAACTTCAAATCTCCAGCGCATCCAGAAGTCTTCGATGACCTCCGACCTCTACCTCCATCAATGCAAATTGAGCCACTCATCAACATACAGAAGCAACGGCAAATTGCAGGTGTAATTAAGGCGCTTGTCGCTGGTCAGCATCTCGCGAACAAAGTCGAGGTGGATGTGGATAAGAGGCTACTTTCACGTTGTTTGAAGCTGAGCGCATTGGATTTTGACGGGTTACAACGAATATTGGGTGTTTATTCCGAATACTGAACTCCGAACATTCCCCATGCTGCGCCACGTTCCCCACCACTTCAACACCCCGTTCAATACTTTTGACTTTCGGTTACTTATCTATTTTGATGACCCCTTGTGATGACTGGTCATATGACTAGAATACCACATGCAGCTCGCCTTCCCAAACAAACAAATCAATTTTTTATTTCTTCTTCCCTTTTTTTATTCCTCGCATTTCTCAAACCGACAATACGTACGTACACGAATATTTGACACGAAGTTACTGAAATCTTTTCTCGATTTTTTGGGCTTGCATTGACATACATAGAATTTCTTTCACTTCATTTTCTGCCCTTTCATTTTCTGCTGTTTTAAGTTAATGTGCGGGTATGTTGATGGGATTTTTTTATCATGCTTTCAATCTTCTCGTGCATAGTCCGCTTGATGGCGTCGTTACATTTGCATTTACCTGTTCTGTGTTGCAGATATATATAACCTCCATGTTTTCTTCTTATCACCAATGAATGCACTCTGGAATACTCTATATTGTCTTGGAGCGGGCGCTGTTGGCGATGATAAGACGGGCTTTGGATCGACGTACTTGCCTTATTTAGCGTTCTGCGTAAACTCTTTACGAGCTGTTGTTTCTTTCTTCTTATCAAGTTGCTGTCATGCTACTCCGTTGCGTTGTCTAAGAACTTCTCGAATCCCAGTGACTTTGCAAAGATAACGAGATGAGACAAATCTGCGGAAGCTCGACCGGAGGTTTAGGTATCACAAGCAAATCCGGAGGAAGAAACTTGTAGGAGTAGTTCTACTGCCGACACAAGTGGCCACGCGCACAACCCGTAACGCGTGCGCAAAATTTCCAGAGCTACTTATTCAGAATGTGCCATGATCGGGTTCTCGTATCGTATATAGGTATATCCTTCTTATCTGAAGAGCGTTTCCGGCCCTGGAGCTCCTTGATCCTGTCCCACTCTTAATCCCTGTATCTCTTTTTCTTTCTTTCCCACTTTCTCCCTTCTCGAGCTTACCTTTCTGATTCCTCCGTTGTGCTCTCCGCTCTGGTTTGGTTATCATGACAGACGAATCACGAAATATCGAGTTCAATAATAGCGATCACATCCAGAAACGCAAGAACGATAATGTGGTCAATGTGAATGATGGTGGGGGAGGAAGCATTAGCGAGGAGTTGAGTTCCGTAGATGAGGATGACCGGGAACTGGAAGCGTTGGGATATGTACCGAGTTTTAAGAGGGAGTTTTCGAACCTTGCGACGGTGCGTGTGCTTTTTATACATATTTTCCATGTCATATTATACAGATAGCAGTGAACTCGGACAAAACTAATTTTTTGACATTATGATGTCCTTATTTCGCAGATCAGCTTTGCATTTAGTATCATGGTACGAGTTTCCCCGTCCGTTACGAAACCTTAGGAGGTTTTAGTGAAGTCTGAAATTTTTTGGTTAGGGATTGTGCTCGAGTATCGCGACGACGTTCAATACTCCGCTTACACTCGGCGGACCGTCTTCGGTACGTGGAAGTAACTATGTTGTATACGTGCTGTTTTGGAAGAGAGAGATTGATACGCAAAATGTATGAAGGTAACATGGTGTTGGATCCTCGGTGCATCAATGTGCTTTACGCTAGGTAAGTTGTGATTCGCATTTGCCATAAATTCAATCGAGTCCAAGTCATTGTCTCTAACTGACTGGTCGTCGAGTACAGGCGCATCAATCGCGGAGATTGTTAGCGCGTTCCCAACGTGTGGAGGTCTGTAAGTAGAGCTTGTACAGTTTTGTGAAGAAAAAGCATTGATCTACTTGACCCTCAAGGTATACTGCGTCCGCGCAGCTCTGTCCGCCAAAACGCCGCGCAATCGTCAGTAGTCAACTTCATAAACTCAATAAACCTGCCTCCCTTATCGATTCTGATAACAAGTTTGTTTGATAGGTAGGGTGGGTCGTTGGGTGGCTAAACATCCTTGGTGAGCTATTTGCGCATTTTTGTTATCTTGGTCTGTTTTAAATAGCGCATGTTACACGTTGTAGGCCAAGTAGCCGGCCTCGCGTCGACAGAGTTTGGCTTGGCAAACATGATCTGGGCTGCCGTCTTTCTCGGAAGAAGTGGAGACTTCGAAATTACTCAAGTAAGCATTCATTCCCTGCTCTCGATGTGCTAGAAGTATGGATGGACTGACCTGTATGTATAATAGGGAAAGACAGTTGGACTCTTTACGGGATTGCTTATCCTGCATGGAATACTCGTTCGTATGCCTCGGTTTTGGTCTTTATCGGAGCCCTTTTGAATTCGGAGGAATTTAACTCGCTATGTAGAATTCATTTGCCACGCGTCACCTTGCAATGTTCACCAAAGGATTTGTATTCGTCAACCTTGGAGCGACCATCTGTGAGCTCCATCACACTCTCCTCTCTAAAAATTACTCAATTCAAAACTTATAATAAAATTGGAACTCCACATGATTCAGTGATCATAATCGTGCTCCTCGCTATGACGCCTCGATCAGAAATGCACTCCGCAGCGTACGTCTTCGGCTCGGAAGGAATCACCAACCAAACAGGTGGATGGAATACGGGACTTGCATTCCTTTTTGGATTGCTCAGTGTGCAATGGACGGTACGAAACGTCATTTACATTTCAATGCCCGGATCTGGACGACGGAAGCTAACTTAAAGAATTTATAATCGATTGACCTTAGATGACGGTGAGCATTGAAACAATACATGCATTCAAATTTGCAAATAGAAGTTGATATGTTACGGCAGGACTATGACGCGACGGCCCATATTTCGTAAGGGCTTCTACTTTACTAGTAATTGAAAACCTGTAATTGAATAATGTCGTACAGCGAGGAAGTGAGACGTGCCGCTTACGCTGGTATGTTCGACTTCTTTGGATTTGAATTTGCTCGTCTCTGATGATGTTAATTAGCACCAAGTGCTATTTTCATTGCGGGTGAGCGATTTGGTCAGACATTCAAGAAATAGCACATTGAAATGAACTGCAGTCATTGGTACTGGACTGATCGGGTGGTTGTTTAATATCGTCCTCGTCCTGTGCTCTGGCCCCCTGTACGTGCTCGTTTAATCCTTTCAAATGATAAACGTCTTGCTCAGTGTGTGAAACTAGCGAGAACCTACCAGGTGACTCGCAAAGTGCAGTTCTGCAAATTATGGTTAACAGAATAGGAACGCCAGGGGCACTCTTCCTCTGGGTAGGTTCTTCATTCCAGCAATGTGTCGAATTTACACTTTGTTCGCCACTCATCCTCTTTTGCCTTTCGCAGGCTTTTGTCTGCATGACTGCATTTTTTGTGTGCCAAACTGCTCTACAAGCATGTTCGCGCACCGTATATGCCTTCAGTCGGGATCATGGGCTGCCAGATGGAGGTTTGCTTGGTAGAGTGAGCACCATCACTCAAACGCCTCTTCCTGCAGTCTGGGCAACGACGCTGTTTAGTGTCCTACCTGGCTTACTCGACTTTGCGAGTCCCGTTGCCGCACAAGCGATCTTTTCACTCACAGCGATGGCCTTAGACATTTCGTACATCATTCCGATATTCTTGTACGTTCCTTATGTCCTCGTTAGTGGACGCGGACAGACTGAAAATATTGCTTTCTTTATTTTGCGCAGGCGACGATTTTATCGTAATCATCCTGAAGTCATTTTCAAACCCGGGCCGTTCTACATGGGTCCTGGTCTACTCGGTTGGGCAGCAAACGTCATTTGCATCACCTGGACAATTTTTGTCTCTGTGATTTTCTCTATACCAACCGTTTTGCCTGTCACTCCGCAGAACATGAACTATGCGTCGGTTATTACAGGCGGAGTCGTCATCCTCTCTGGGTGAGTTGACTTTGACATATGCCAATGTCTTTATAAAAGAAACTAACGAATACGTTGTTACTTTATTTCTTCTTTCATTACGGTTGCGGTGCAGATTATGGTACATCCTCGCGTAAGTTCAGTTCTCTTTAACGCCGTGAAGGATCGAGATACTCAATCAATTGCATCGTAGGGCACATCATCATTACAAAGGACCAACATCGAACCTACCACCGGAGGAGCAAGCCAAGATAGACAAGCAGCGCCGATTTGGGGAGGCATGATACAGCACACGAACGTAGTATACAATATGTAGTTTTATGCGTCGTTCCTGATGTTCACTGTCTTCAAGGCAATGCTGGAAGTGATATTAGTGAACAAGGTATACCAGACAGGTTTTCAAAGCTTCTTACTGTCTGCAACTGTGCAACAAGCATGCTAGCTGAACATGTAACCTAGCTCAGTGGCTCTCACAGTTACATTGCCATTGTCAGCTAGGTTGGATTCGGTTTACCATATAATTGTGCATTTAGATCAGCTAACTTGAGCCGACTTGAGACAAGGAACAGCTTCGAGGGATAACAACTCTGTTTAGATGCATATTTTGTCCATGCTGATTATTGTGTTTAAATGCACTGCCATATATTAAGGGGACGATGGCACTATCATTTTCATATACAAGCATACGGTTTGACTAACAGAAAATCCGACTCCCAACAGTAGATTCTAACAGACATCCTATATGCGGCATAATCTACAGCAATATCCTTCAGAAACAGTGAATGCCAGCCCACGACACAAAACAAACACCTATTTATTAGCAGCTATGTAATCATATTCAGGTACAAAATAATAACTGGAGTATTCGTTCCTCTACATTGTTGACAATCTCCAGGGAAGAAGCTTCTGTATTCTGTGCATCCCATGAAAGCTCAGTCATAATTATCCCAACTGGTCCATAGTACTCTGCACAAAGGTTGATGAGCATCTTTGGAGCAAGGATTGTCATGACCGTTATAACGATTGTTTGGTATGCACTCTGTTCATAATAAGAGTGATCATGGAATACTATATTCTAGGAGGAAGGTGAGAAATCATACAATGAGGTGTAGCATTTAACCCACCTGAGTCTTCCTGTTAGTAATGAAAGTTAAGATAGCAACAATTAGACAACAAACAGAAAATATTCTAGAAAATTATTAATTAAAAACTCGAATGGTAAATTTAAACAGTGTAGTGCCTACATGGTAAAGTAAATAATAGAATCTCTTGCCATTACTGCAATTATGCTCTGCAACCTTGATGGGCTATTACTTGAAATGGGTGCTTGAAGCTTGAGCTTTCTCATATGCACGACCTTCTAGAGAACCAGAAGAAACAGAAGTAGTTCGACAAATGTAGATACTGTCCAAGCAATGGCAGACATAACAGGCACAATTATGCACCCAGTACTATCTGGAGGACTGGTACGTCCGGGTTTAAACCGAGGTACTGCAACTTTTGGATCATATATTTTAAGAAAACACTACTCTGAATCAGATACAGTGGCAAACAAAAGTATTGCACACCTCTGTTACCTCCTACCATTTTATACTCTACCACTCTTCCACATTATAAAAATATTATTAAAAATCACTTTTATATAGTCTAACATACTAGCTACAATAATATATAAGTTCTATGTGCAAAAATTGAGCCAAAAACAATAGACCTCAAAATTGCTGAAAAAAGTCATGTACAATTCTTTTAGTGTGTCCTCCCTACCCTAGTCTTTTCATCATATCTAGCTGAATTCTTGCTCAAATCCTCTACTCTATTCTGCATTCTATACTCCTTAATATGGTCTATACTTCTCCTACAAAAAATGCCAAATTGTAGAGTGGCACAAACAAGGAATCTGACCCTACAATATTGCTCAAAAACTCAAACTTCATTGAACAACTGTCTCAAGAATGATCAAACAATATATTAATTTCTCTAACTACTATTATGTACAACCTAAGTCAGGTCACCCACATATTATGAACAAGAGAGAGAGTAGGGATACTAGTAGGATGTTGGCTAGGACTGAGGCTATGAATGCTACAGAGGTACAAAAGAAGGCCTTTCCTCATGTCTCTACTCATACCATTTAAAAGTAATTGAAGGATCAAGGTCTCATTTGTAAGGTTTGAAGGCCTAAGCCCTACTTAAAGAAGGACCAAATGGAGAAGAGGAGGAGGTGAGCAATAGTTTTTATAAGCTATTTTAGTAAGTTTCATACAATCTTACTATAGAATTAACATTTGTATAATACTGAGAACATAATACAAGTAAAACAGAGATGCTAAACTAATATTTATTAAAAGAAATTATTATATTATATTATTACAGGCATAATACTGTATATAGTATATACAGTATGACTGTAACTGTAAACTGACTCAGGAATGAAAATTATGTATATACTATATACAGTATACTACAATCCCTACTAAGAACCAGAAGGAACAGAAGTAGCTTGACAAAGGAATTAAATGCTCATATAATGCTAGACATATAATAAGGGCTTCTAAGGCACCCTTTAGATCCTAGAATAGGAAAACAAGATAGTACATTATAGTCTAAACAAAATTTAATAATAGAGTTGAAAGGAATGTTTCTAAATTTTGACACACAATAAATTAAAAATCTCCCACCAAAATTGAATACAAGTTACAGGATGTTGAACCTAACAAGAAGTAATGTCCAAATAATAAGTACAATTAGCATTTTTCTTGTTACACCAAACAATACATAGACACACATTATAAGAATAACTAATTAGAGGAAATTATTGACAAATCAATATTTAATATAAGAGATCAAGAGAAGAGCTTGCCTTTGGCTAGTAATACTATTATGTTCTCTAATACAATATATAAACAGTCAGATAAACCTAGAACAGTTACACAGAGTTTATGTAAAGTAATTCAAACATTAAGTCCTCTCACAAAACTGATTTAGAAAGCTTATAAAACTGTGCTTCTAGTAGAAGGTGAGACTGATAACTAGAAAACAAAATGGCAGATTACCTTGGAGAAAACAACACTAAGACTAGTCTATCTAAATATAGATGTGTGTAAAGAGGATAAACTATAGTACTTATAGTTAATGTAAATATCCATTTAGGATTTGGATTTTGAAACTCACATAAGAAAGATAGCTCTAAGGTATCTAGTCTAGTACTATGTCTGACACTAATTTATGATTGTAAGTATAGATAAGAAACCTACAAGTAGATACATAACCTTTCTAGTTGTCCAAAGTTCTAACTATAGATGGTTTTTTTAGAACCTTAGAACTTCTCAAAAGTTATTTGTTGTATAGACAACATACTCATATATATTACACCTAGTCTAGTATTATGTTAGCCAAAGGTAATAAGGGTGGATACTAAAACAAACCTTTTCATCTAAATGTGAGACTATAAACATGAGCTATATTAAACAGTAAGAGCTTTTAACATTACTAATAATACAACTCACTAGTATAGTACAAGTGAAAGGTAGTACAGGAGGCTGACATAAATAGGACCAGAATACTTGGAGTCAGTACTCTGACTAACCTGTAATTGTCTTGAATACTGTTGGTTCATGTGTAAAAATTGAGACACACTTAATAATATGTGAGGGACTTGGATGCATTTGGGAAGGATGTTAGAAGTGGCTCTTTACTGTAGGTAGATCTGTGTAGTTATAGGTTCAGCAGTATTTAATATAAGACTGGTTGTGATTTACCAATACTAATAGTATCAAAAAAACCATCAGTTCTGTAGTCTTATCAGACAAGGCACACAGTAAAATAATTTGCTTCCACAAGGTTCTAGCTATAGAGTTTCAGAGCTGTTTCTAGTCATTGTATCTACAGGTGAGTCAGTTGTCATAACCAGCATTCTCATTACAAGGATAGGTGATAGAACAACCATTCCTATAAACTGTAAGTCACTTAATCAAATAAGAGTATCAGTGAACCATTAGCAACTATTTGTATAGTGATTGATATACAGTAAAATCTAAGAAGATGCAATGCTTTTGAAATATCCTACATAAGGGAAATTGAAAGGATGCAATGTTCAAAAAGCAAAAAGACTTACTATATATTCTAGAATCAGTACACGCATAGTTGTAGACTGATTATCACACTGGTTGGCATGGTACAAGATAGATTGAAGTGTGTACCATTCTGCCAATTTGTACAGTAAGTAATATGATCTGAGGCAAGGCAGCAGCGAATGGACGCTCTCGAGCCCGAATAGTTGCAATTAGGAAGACCACTTATCATTGTTCGGACCTCAATACTGTAAGCATGAGAAAATTTCGTGTCGACTCGATGACTTGAACAGGAAACTAAGTAAGTCTCGCCATTGAATGTACAGGATGGATGTGAGCAAAATGCAACCATCAAAGGACTGTGGACACAACATATAGGTATGGAGCAAGTGAATTTGAATCATTTCATTGTCACTAAAAATGAAGGGCAACATTATGCTACTTGCTTGTCAATCTGATACTAAACCATCAAAATTTTGGTAGTGTACTAAAACTTCAATTCCTATTCAGATATTCTCATTCCAGTGTTCCCATGCATACAAACACATGCGTAGCAAGTTCTCGAGAGAATGCAAAAAGCATTTTATTGTACATCCCTAGCCATTGTTGTGTTGGAGATTAAACCTCACGCAAAGGCCTTAAAGGAATTGAAGTATATCTCCATCCCATCCACCAGTCCAGCTTTCTTCGGGACCCATCCAAGCAGTGAACGACCGAGGCTCGGACGGAGACGCGAAGTTACTGCAATGGCTTCTTCAAATGGGTTTGTTGGTTCGCGGTATGCCCAGCCTGGTGCACCTGCGACACGAGCGACATTTTCGAGAACATCATCTACGGACTCGGTGTACGAGTTCGATGCGTCAATGATTGTTCCTTTGCATGTTGGGCCCTATTATCGGTACAAAGAGTAAGAGAAGCAAATCCGTCAATTATTCCGAAATTGTTGCTTTCAATAACTTATTAAGGAGCCTTACCGCCTCGGCGATGCGAACGAACAAATCCGCAAGGTCGTCCACATGAATAACGGGCCACCTTCCTCCTTTCCTCCCAGCCCACTCAAATTTCTCACCACGCTTCGCAGCTTCAACGGCAGCACCGAATAGCATTGCTATAATAGATCCAGAACGACCATATAATAGAGATGGTCGCACAACAATGCCATTAATCAATCCTGCATCAGAAGCAGCGGTGACGCGTTGTTCTTGAGCTGTACGCCATGAGACGAGTGTGGTCGTATTTTTGGGTACCGCACTTTCTGATGCTGTGTTTACACGGTCATCTCCATGGACCCATGTGCCTGTAACAAGAGGTACATTTTCGTAAGGCTAATACCCGAGAGCGACAGAACGTACCTGAGCAATAGATATATGTCAAGCGAGGTGCCGAGGTGCCCCGTGTCTTCTTCGCCGCTTCCAATGCAACCTCGAAGACGTATTGCGAGATGGTCTTTATGTCCATACCACCAATACAATCGATCACTTGAATTACCAAAACAACCAATATTAGCATCCAAGACGACTCGCGACCTTGCTGTTTGCACAGCTAAACTCACCAACATCAACCTTCTCCGCTACAGACACCCACTCCTCTTTTTTAGTCGGATCCGCAACTACAGGGATAACTACAACGCCAAACAACGGAAAAAGAAAAAGAAGAGTAAACAACGGGAACATAGAAGACGATCAGATCAGATTCGATCAGACAAGAATGGCAAAGACGTACTTTCTTCAGACGCAAGCAACTTCGTCTTCTCGGCATTCCTCGTTTGACCATATACCTCATGTCCATTTCGTACGAGGGCTTGAGCAGCAGGGAACCTACACCAAATCCAAATTCAGTTCCAGTCAATCATAACGACACCTAACCATCGAATGGCATAACGCGAAAAGGGCCACCGACTCACCCAATAAATCCAGTAGCACCAAGAACAAGGACCTTCATCCTCGTAGCACAATCGCAATACACAAAGAGTCGTATTCGTCAAAAGAGATAGAAGGCGCAAGTCGCGGTAGACTATATAATATAGCAGTACACTGTGAGAAGCCTCGCACGTCTGCTTGCTGAGTTTCGTCTGGTCTGGGAAGGATACTGTACCTGACTCGCGATAAAAATACCGCTTTATATGCTCTCTGTCCGAATCGGGCTCCGTCAGGATTCCGATTCGGAGCGTCATCTGCAAGTACGCAGCGCATAAGGTACACAGAAGGGTTTAAGGTACTTCGTAGAATAGAAAGGACGTTATTAATGCCAATTCATAAGCTGGCGCCTTGCGCTCACCGTCGGAGACGGAATATGTGTACTGGTGAGAAACTGCGGATTGATATGGAACGGTCATTAATTCCGCTTGTACTTTCATAAGTCAGCGATCCGATCAACTCTGAGAAGTATGATCAAGCATTACCATGTTGTTCTCCCCAAAGCCCGGATAATTTCTCATATTATCTAGTCATTTACTGACCCTAGCCTGGAAGTGCACCGAGGCTCAGTAAAGGACTGATCTACAACCCGATCACCTCAGCTCACGCCGATCAACAGCGGAACATCGCCACTCGCTCGCTTGCACAAAAGACTCGGGATTGCCTCAGCTCATATCTCTATCCACCGACAAACACAATTAAATGACGGGTAACACCCACAAAGATACCTACAACACGCTACGCGCCCACCACGCGCGCCAGAAGACAATATATAAGAAAGCATGCATCGCGCAAGAAGGGGGAAAAAGTAAATGGTGAAAAGAAAAGAAAGCAAGGAGGAAGATAGACAGAGAAAGCGAGACAGCAGCATAGACACAGGTTACGCTAATCGGCAATAGAAAGGACAGCTAGGAAAAGAAGATACCTGCTATGGATAGGCAAAAACCAGTGAGGTGAAGAAAAAGATAGAACGTAGAAACGGATGTCCTAAGTGAGGAAAATACGAAGTATCACAATCGCTTCAGCGCTTTCTTCCTCTTCTCTCCAGTACCCATTCCACCAGCCGGTCTTTTAACGGGTTTAGCAGCGTCGGCTGCAGCTTTCGCAGCATTCCCAAGGGCGCCAGGAGTATTTGCGTCTGCTCTCCCGAGCGGGGCCACACCAGCAGCTTTGAAGAGCTCCTCAGATGACGAAGATACTGTAGGGCTGGCATTCGATGCAGACATCTGTAATGGCTGAGGCGGGCACTGTGGTGAAGGTGAGGCTGACTTGCGGAAAATGTGTCCTGCGGAAAGAGAATTCGTAGTAACAAGTGGCGCGGGGTTTTCGCACGGAGGGATAAGTGTCGCTGTAATTTCAACCGATTTTGCCGACTTTGAAGTCGTAATGGGCACTGCGGATGAAGAAGTCGATGCTACGGATTCCGTAGGTGCCGTGCTAAACTCTGGTGGGCGAACCTGGAATCTCATTTTAGAAAACTGCGCGATCACGCGACGGCCAATCTCAACTCACCTTAGGTGTCGCATGTACGCTAGTAATAAGACGCGCACGTTCACAATAGCTCTCATAATCCTCCAACAAGAGTTTCCCAGCCTCCTCGTCCAAGGCTGATTCAGGATTCGGGAAGATAAGCAAGCATTTGACAGTGACGAGGATGTGGCCAATGCCAAACGAAGACTGCCAGTCCTTCTTTAACGTGTTCACACAGATTTCACCAGACGAAGATACGTTGGGATGGAAAATCTTGGTCGCAAACCAGCCTACAGGATGAAAGAACGCGTAAGTCCGTGTACTATCGCAAGAAAGGCAAAGCCAAACAAAGCATGGCCACAGCTCTCCTCAACGCGCGGCGCACAGAGGAGCCGCAGGGAGGGGAAGCCACTTACATTTTGGAGGTGCAGCGGGGAATTCTTCAGTGAAGTTGAATTTGACCTTAAAGTAGCCGCCTTCGTAAGGAGTGCCAGCTGCATCGAAGACAGAAAGTCGTCAGCCACGAAAGCCTACAAACGTAAAGGCATCGCGTTAAGGCGCTGCTCACCTGGACCCTCAATTATCCCCGTCACGTCAAGCATGTTGTCGTCAGGTGTAACTACGCGAATACCTTCCGGAGGCTCGTTCTTGAGCTGGATGAGCTCGCGCATGAGACGGCGGATTACAGCGGGACGAAGAGCCTAATTAAGGATAACGCACATTCAGCACTAGGACACATTGTGAGTATATGATATTGCTCACCATCGCGAAACAGAATAGGCGCCTCTGTCGACTAGAAATGTTGCGCAAAGAAAGAGGAATGGTTCGAGACGAAGCTGCGTCCAACTTCAACAGCAAGATTCTGTCCCGTGACTGTTCCACTTTCGGATGCATTAGTCATCATCGGCACTGACTTCAACTACAATTACTCGCCACAGATTTGGCTTACACCAATACCGTGCAACGGAAGAAAGGCAAGATTTTGATAGTGGATAGTAACTTCAATTTAAACATAGGATAATCTGAAGAGGGCTCATCTTGCCCAATTGCTTGAACTTGATACATTAGTACTAGTACTTTTTCTACCTCAAATACAATCTCCAACAATCTCCATACATTCTAATCACACTTCTAGTTCAATTGATGGCTTGTATTACTAAACTTCTGAGACTGTCTACTACTAATTAGTATCCCCCATTATATTATAACTATAAAATAGATTTCCAAAGAGACTCTATCTTCTCTTGTTGAATATAGTTGTAAGAGCTTGTTGTATCTGCTAATGAAGGAGTAGTGCTCAGTTTGTGCTGGGAAATGTAAATAACCCTTGTTTGTACAAGAACTAGCAGTCTCAGTAGTTCTGTTTAGAGGCTTATACTATATAATTTACTATACTATACTATACTATACTAAAGAGAGACTGTTTGTTTCAACAGGCAACCATTTTAAGAATTCATTCAGCAGCAATTATTATTATTTCTTAAAAATACAAAATTCAAAGGAAGTCAACATAACAACAAGTTTCTGAGATTTTCATCTGAGTGCCCGTCAAAGATAACTCCTAGTTAGTTCAAGGAAGAGCTACTGATAATTTTATACAAACTGACATTTTAATGTAAGGTAATATTCTTCGTTATGTGCAAGAGATACACTTATTATAAATGTATATCTTGGTTAGAAGTCTTCGTCGTCAGGAAACTGTATGCATGCTACATGCCAGTGTATGTTTTGGTCTTTGCAGAAATTGCTTAAATCCTCGGCGAATGACAGGTTGTCTACCAGTATAAAAGTATTATCCAGTCAGCAATAAAACCTTGAATCAAGGCCATTACAAGCAAACTCCCAGGCTCTATCCGAGCATTGTTGGTACTCGTGTATTACATACAGGAGGCTCCGAAGCCGAAGAGGCATAGATACTTTATCCTTCAAAGACTGAACAAAGCCTGACTCAGCAGTATGCATTTCGAGCATATATTTGCTAGTGCAATGGATCGTCAAACGTTCTAAGGATAAGGGCAAGCATGGAACGATATGGTCCAGAGATCCTCAATCATAGAAGAGATCCAGGCTAGTGAGTTTGTTGCAATTAAGTAATAGATCATTGATAACTGATGCATCGACGTCCTGAATATCTAACATAGTCATCGATAAATGCTCCAGCTGGTGAAGGCTCGACCGTAGGGACAGTATTAGCTCTTGATAGTAGCTTTTTTGATACACACGTCTTTGACGGATAAACAGTGATAGCAAGTTGAAGCTCCCTCGAGGCCGAAGGAGCCAAGCGAGGGTTTCCTCTTCCATGGTATCGTCAAGACAAAGACCCATTGCTTTCAACGAGGAAGGGGGGTGCTCGTTCCAATTTAGGACTTCCGTCTCCAAGCCTACCCAATCTTCTATGTACAAAAACTCCAATGAGTGCATCTTTGGGATACAAACGCACAAAGAACGCAATTCTCGGCATACTCCGTTCAAATGCCCAAGCCAGATATATTGGAGGTCTGGCAATTTGTTTAATATTATATTGGGGCAAGTTTGAAATTCAAGACTCGGCTCTGCACCCTTGGTATAATATACTAGAGCCGTCATGAGTGCCAAAGAACGAACATTCGGGGTATGTGCAAGGAGTGCCTCCAGAAGGTCAAGATCATTAGAACTGACCTGATCGTCCTCTTGGGCCGTCCAGTAGATGATCATCTCCGTGACCCATGGTCCACAGAGAGGGTTAAGCAGAAATCGATTTATCTGCTTGTGCGGAATGACGGCCCGGCGACGCAGTCCTTTCTGTGCAATTTCTGTCCAGGAACGATGGACGAGAGCCATATTACGCAAGTCAAAGGCGGCTCCATTGCATTCGAACTCATACCGCAAGTCTTCCTGAACTGCTCTGCCCAATGGTGTGCGCTGCTGTACGATTGTATCGACGACAAGACCTAGAACGACAGGTGGAACAACACCCGATGACCTTTCAGCCTTGAGTGATTTCGGCACAGTTCGATCTAACGCCATATTTCTCTGGTAAGTCGAGACACGGTCAAAAATACCCCAAATATTTTTGAATGTAACTTGGCTCGACTGGAATTGAGGATCTATGACGACGTCGAGGACTTGTTGGAACAGATCAACGGAAAACTTGTCCATGTTATAGGAAGACAGAAGCAAGTCGCGCATCAGAATAGGACTCAAAGCGAATATCGTAAGATAGGACGTTAGAGTGATAGCATGTTGAGCTGTGAGAATAGTCGGACATCGTCGCAAACTTCTGGGTAGGCGTAAGTTAAAACGAAAGGTCTCCTCGACGCGGGTATTTATCAGATTCGTGGGAAACATTCCTGCTCCGCCTGAATTTACAGCGTTTCCGGAAAACTATGAGAGTCGCGTTGTTCTTTTTTTCCCCCTTGCCACCTGCCTTATTTGGCAGGTGACTTGCCAAGCAACATACACATAGCTTGCCATACAACAATAAAGTACTGTAGTTGCCTTCATAAGAGTTTTCAGACACTCCCTAGTATCATAAGACTAAAATAGCAAATATATTAGGTTAACAGGACTGTCTTAGAGGATGCTAGCTTCTTAACAAGAGTGGTACAATCATTCAAACATGTAACAACAAAAAAGAGGTAATTCTGTCAATATTATAGAGGGAAATTGTAATTGAAAAGGTTCAACATATGTTTTAATGTATAAAAAGGTGTATATTAAGTGGAAAAACAGTACAGAGGTTTTGTATGTGTCTAAACAAAAAGGTGGTTGAAGTCACCTGCCTCATTTGGCAGGTGGCAAGGTGGGAAAAAAAACGACGCGACTCTCATAGTTTTCCGGAAACGCTGTAACATCAAGGTCAAGTAACAAGCACAGGAGGCAGATTCCCATTCTGTCACCCTAGGAATTTATTACAAAATTCAAAAGCTCTCACCTGATTGGCTGAAAATACATTCTGAAACAAATTTTCCAGACCTCAGAATCGGTTTTTGCCTCTGGTGAAGTCAATTACTTAGTGAATTACTAAGTTGCCCTTTTATTTGTGTGAATCATGGATTTATTCGGCCGAAATAGCTTTCAGTGCTTTTGTAAAACTCACAAAACACAGAGAATATGGTATTCATTACAATTACACAGACTCACAGAGTGTACAGGACGAGAAGTTAGACAAGATGGCATGTAAGTATGATAGGCTGCTCTTAGTGTCAAAGTTATGAATAAACAACATGTGGTAACATTCGCAATTTAAGGGAGGTGAAACTGATAGGTGATAAAGAGGCAAAAAGGAGAGATACAACGTATGAGGCATGATTCTGATAAAATGACGACCTCTACTACAATCTAACATGATTAACTGGAAAGACTTCATTCTACACAGTCACTTGAACTTGGTACATTAGTACTGCTAACAGAAACTCGAATTACCCGAGCGTCCCATGACAGCTGAGTCGCAATCTTCCCGACGGGGCCGTAATACTCCGCACGAAGGTTTATGAGCATTCTCGGAACGAGGATCGTCATGACCGTTATCACGATAGTTTCGTAAGAGTTCAAATTGAAAGTGAACAATGCAACAGCATAAGACAGCTAATGAGGTTTCTTCAGTAGGGAATGCGTAAGTGGAAAGTATACTGACTGCGTCTGGGAGATTGTCGAAGGCAACGGACTGGACTACTCCGAGGAGACATGCTACAAATATTCTTAAATAGTAGTTAATATGAATTCGGAGAAATATGCATCAGACATCTTACATGGCAAAATAGGCAATGGAGTCCCTTGCCATTAAGGCAATGAGCTCATCGCCACTTTGCATCTCACCCTTCACAAGGCGTAAGAGAGACCTTCCCTTCTTCATTTTTACTGCCTTCCATATTACCATAAGAAAGAGGACCAGCTCAACGAACGATGTCACCGCCCATGCCAAGCCAGACATTGAAAATGCATAAAGACATGAACCGGAGTTGCCCTGCAATGTGAAAGTTTCATATACAATGTTGCCATTGTCCACCGAATCTTAACAGAATAAACTTGCGTTAGATTTCTTCGGCGGTAAAGCAGTGTAATAACTGAATCCTCTTACTGAGTAGAAAGAACATTTGCACAATGTTGAACCCGAATAGGACCAATGTTAGTATGACGAACATGATCAGGAGTTTCTTGTTTGCTCCAAATAGTGCATAAACGCGCATCTGAAGGATAACTAGGGATAGAATAAGGCAATGTACTTCAAAACGTTAAGTTGTCCAAATTAGATCTCTACCTTCAGTAAGTAGCATAATCATGGTTCCCATTCCAGTATACAAATAGCCATGCAGACCTTGAACACGCTTGTCAAATTCTACAGTTGAAATGCACAAGTAATAAAACCACTTACATGATAAAAGCAGACCCGAAATGTTTTCTCTCTAAAAGGCTCTAAGATTTATGCACAAGAAAATAAAACAACCTATTCACCAGGAAAGCGTCCTCATAAGGGTCCTCCCATCCCTGTGGGAAGATATTTATAGTGGCCAGGCTGCACTATAGTTAGCTGAGAGTATGACTTCAAGTAGTAGTATATACAGTAAAAATACAAAACCGAGGTATCTGGACTGTTGATTATTTAACTATCAGCACCTAATTTTAATAAAGGCAATTACACACAAGCAAATACATAACCTTCCCAGCTGTCCAGCGCTTTGCCTACATATAATTAGGTTTATTACTGTACAGTGTATACTCTATTCAAATAACTAACCCATATATATTCAATCTACCATGCTCACAGGTCAACATTGAACAAGCACAAAAGCAGAGTTAAATTAGCAGACCTCTTCATCCAAATGTGTGACTACATGCATGTCTTAAATCAAGTTGTCAATAGCTCTGAATGCAGCTTACCAATGTAATAGATATGGAAAGTCATACATGAGACTAGTGATTTTGTAGCGAAATTTTATTTTAGTATAATGCATTACAAGAAGCATAATAGCTGACCTATTATTGACTTGTAGATTGTAAGCGAATGGGCTTCGTACTCAGCAGGCATTGTAACGTGAGGGCCAATGGCAATTATGGGGTGTTATAGTGAAGCGTCTGCCTATATATGTATAGTTTTTTTATTTATCAATGCTATCTATACTTAGCATTTCATCTGATGCACAGGTCCAGAGTGCTGCTCATCATGATGGAACAATAAAGAGCTGTACATCTGCTACAGTATAGCCACGTTATTGGCGATCGTTATCTGAAGGCGTTATCACAGCCTCACCATGATAGGAATTTGGTATTTCCTTCATGGTAAAACGACTGACTGTTACTCTATCTGGATTCTGGTTGCATCATTACTACTATTGTTCCTGTTTAATAAAACAAGATAAACAGAAGCCATCTTAATTAGTCAGTTTGCCTCCAACAGAAAGTTTTTTATCCTGGGATTGTTCTTCTTTCGGATGCATCTATTAATGTAATAAAGTCAATCTGCTGGATTTGTTTATTACACTTCCTCAAACCTCCTCACTCCTTATAGGTGTAATTCACAAGACAAAATTCTGATAGTGAATATTCTGACAGTGAGTAGTTATAGTAGGGTTCTAACATAATCTAATGTAGGATATCTAGAAGAGTGATTATTCTACATATTCATTTGAACTCAAGACGTCTGTATTAGCCTAGGACCAGGGAACCCCTATACTGCAAAGTTAATGAATCGTTCTTAGGGACATTATATAGACAAACTAACTAGGTCTTGAGTATGTGAAGTTTGGGTGATGCTCCCAGGCAGGTCGATGGGAATGACAGAGTTGTCATTGGGATGGAGACCTTTCGTGAAGTTGAACTCAATGGATTGGTGTGGTCCTGGCTCTAAAGAGTGGTCTGTATCAAGTGCCTTGATGTACAGGGAACAGTCACATGTTTACATCAGTGATTGAAGGTGAGAAGAGTCGGAATATGTATTTTTCAGTTAACCATTGTATCATGCCATCACCCAATAATTAATCAAGAAACTTCAATGGGAGCATTTTTGGAATGCAACTGTATAGTGACTGTAAGGCGTTGCAGGACATGCGCGTCCTATGTTCTTCGGAACCCTCACGCCCAAAGTGTTTTAGCCAAAGTTCTTCGAGGTCTGGGAGCGCACTCACTATCGCACTGAGACAAGCTTCAGCTTCTAAACTTGCATTATCACGAAGTGAACGACACCACGTAACAGAGGTATTGAACGCCAAAGAACGAACATTCGGAGTACGTGCGAAGAGTTCCTTTAGGAGGAAAAGATCATCAGGAGTGACCTGATCGCAAACCTCGACCGTCCAGCAGATGACCATCTCAGCAATCCATTGTCCACACTGACTCCACAGAAAGGGCTAAGGAGAAACCGGTTGATCCGCTTATATGGAACGATTGCCCGTCGACGCAGTCCTTTCTGCGCGACATCTGTCCAGGATCGATGGGCGAGACTCATAGATCGCAAGTCAGCTCCATCGCGTACATACGCACCTCCCCAGCTCAACTCGTTCGCTAATATACCTAATGGTGTACGCTGCTGCATAATCGTAGACGACAAGCCCCAAAACGACAGGCGGAATAGCACCTGAAGACCTTTTAGCCTCTGACCTTTCCACGTCCCGGCCTAACGCCATAGCTTTTCGGTAAGTTTTGACGCGGTCAAAGAAAGTCGAGATGTTTTTGAATGTGACTTCGCCCGGGTTAATTTTTGGATCAACCACAACGTCGAGGACTTGTTCGAACAGGCGGACGGAAAACTCGTGCATATTAATATTGTTAAGGTAAAGAGCGGCAAGTCTCGCATCGGGGTAGGTTTCGGAGGGGACATTGATGTCAAATTGAGGGTATTCGGGTCGATAAAATGTCGAGTTGAGGGAATAATTAAACATGGCCGTACGTAAGTTTCTTGCAGATGTAGGTGGGTATTCAGATATTCAGACTTCTAAGCTTCGACTTCGACTTAGCGTCGTAGCGACGAAACTAGCGTTATCATTACCGCGGGAAAACCTCTTTTACCTTCCCTAACCCTAATTCGATTTCAGCCAGCGAGAATTCAAAAGCAGGTAATAGAGAACAAAAGGTATGAGTACTAAAAAGAACAGGCTTGGCTGCTCTGCACCCATTCTGGTGCCAAAATGTGTATGGCTATTTAATTTACCAAGCTACTATCTAATACAGGCAGAAGTTTTGATAAATATGCTCCTCTTCTAAAGGCATATATTCTACTCTAACTCTATAAATATGACACGTCCTTCTCCCAACTTAGAATTAAATCATCTATTTCTTCTCCTGACAGTAAAGTACATACAACATTATGGACTAAGGTAAAATATCACTGTTATTCTATATATACAGTAGTAATTGATCACACATTAATCTAGGAATTGTTTCCAAGCATCTATTAGTATTAGTTGAAGCCAAAAGCTACTAACTGCTTTAATAGATTAGTATTTGTTTACATCAGTATTTACACAAGCCAAATATATATTTCGAAGTTTACAAAAGTTGGCCAAGCCCTCTGGTAAATGTATGTCTGCAGGCACAAAGATACTGAACAATTAGCAACAATATCTTGAATCAAGGAATGTATGGGCATACCAATATACTGTGAACTGCAATGTAGTGTGACATATGAAGAGGAGACTTCGAAGATAAGCATAGATATTGCCGCCGTTAGAGACTGGACAAACTGTATACTTTCAGAATACATCTGATGAAAATTGTATTCACAACAGTGAATTGCCAAATGCTTCAAAGATGACAGCAAGCCTGGGACGATACTAGGTGAGAACTGTGGACCATAGAATAGATCCAAACTAGCAAGTTTGTCAAAGCCAAGTAATGCGTCTCCAAAGATTGATTCATCCTGCCGAGCAATAATCCACATGGGCATCATTAATTGCTCCAATTGCCAAGCGCTCAATTGCCAGGACGATTCCAGACTTTCGGGCGCGTGAAACCCTGATGATTCTCCTCCAATGATAAATAGAGTTTGCAAATTGAAATTCCCTGGAGACCGGAGGAGCCAAGAAATGATCTGCTCACTCATGCTGCGCTCAAGGACAAAATCTACTGCTTTCAACGAGGAAGGTGTTCATTCCAGTTTAAACTTTCTATCCCCGAGCCTATCCATCCTTGTACGGATAAAAACTCCAATGCGTGCATCTTAGGGACGAAAGCGTATAACGATTGCAAGGCATCACAGACTTTGAGTCCCGAATGACGGATATGACTTCCAGTGCGAAAATGGTTAAGCCAAAGATGACGGAGATCCGGCAACGCATTTGTTATAGCACCGAGGCAATTTGGCACCTTCAGGTTTGGATTATAATCGCCGTCGTACAGTAGACGATACGACGTCAGTGCCGTATTGAATGCCAGAGAGCGAACATTCGGAGTACGTGCAAGGAGCGTCTCCAATAGCTCCAGATCATCAGAGTTGATATCATCATGGTCATAGGGTATCCAATAAATAGCCATCTCCCTAATTCATGTTCCTCATAAAGGGCTCAGAAGAAATCGGTTGATCAGCTGGTACGGAATGATTGCCCGTCGACGCAGTCCTTTCTGTGTAACTTCTGTCCAGGAACGATGGACGAGGCTCATATTGCGCAAGTCGGTTCTATCATCACTCCAGCGGCACTCCTTGCTTAATATGCCAAGCGGGGTGCTCTGCTGCACAATCTCATCGATGACGAGACCTAAAACGACAGTTGGAACAACGTTCGATGGCTTTTCGGCGCCGTGCGATTTTGCCACAGTACGATCTAGCGCTGTGCCTTTTCGATAGGTCGAGATATGATCAAAGATATCCCAGACCTATTTGAATGTGATTTCGCTCGATTCGAATTGCGGATCGGTTACGACGTCGAGTATTTGGTGGAACAGATCAATGGCCCTGGAAAACTCGCCTATGTTCGAGGAAAAGGGCCGCAAGCCTCACATCGGAATACGTCTTGAAGCCAATATCAGAACGTAGATACTTGAGAAAAGTCACTGAGCGGTTGCGCTCGTGCTACCAGCGCCCGCGAGAGAAAATAGAGTCAGCATGGCGAACTGAATTGCGCGAGAAAATAGCACGGGGGATAGAGAAACGGGACGATGGAAATAGGCTAGCGGATGGAGAGGGACAAGGAGATGCACGCACCGTTATTGGGGTGAGTCTCGATCTTGCAGTGACCCATGGCAGGAGTCTTTGGACGTGGTCAATGTAATGCAGTTGTTCAGTAGAGCAGCAGGTCGTGTTGGACACGGCAGCAAATATTGAAGGAGTTGTTCTTGCAACGGCAGACTCTGCAGTGGAAGCTAGTCGTGAGAGAGAGAGGAGAGAGATGGCAGGAAGAAAGCAAGAGATGTTGAGAGAGAGAAAAGCAGAAGGCAAAGTGAAACGAGATAAGTAAAAACCAACACACACGTGATCACTTTAGTTGGTGGGAAAATGGACTTGTCGATTTTCTGACGTTTATCTTGCTAGGCAGGCAAACTTCCAAGTATTTAAGAAATCAAGAACAATATTAGTAGTTATGATAATTTCCACTTACTTGTAATGACTTCTAATGTTATTAGAATACTTGGTTAATCTTGTATTTGTTTGATATTCTTGTCTGACTCTTGTATTTGTTTTGTAATTCTTGTCCAACTCTTGTATGACATTGTATTTATATCAAATAATTACATAAGATTATATTCAAATAAGAATTCTGTCCCTGTATTGTAATTTTAAAATAAGTATACTACTAACATGTATGTATTTATATTTAATTGTATAGTTTACTAATACTTAATCTACCTTGCCATATCTAGAAGGGTATACAAGATTTTTTCATGTTTTGTCATGTGATAGAGTGCAAGTCCTATCTACTAACTAGCTACGCACGCTCTGAAGTTATGCGCATTGCGCAACAATGATCAGCTACTCTCGAGTCAACATACTATCATTCTGAGGCGAGTTGTGTTCTCAGTGTTTTGCGACGCGTTGTGCGGGAGCTGCAGTGCTAGTGTGACACATTGACTGAGTGGCGCTGCTGTGCTGCTGTGCGCTCGCTATAATTATTTCGACGGAGGCTAACGCCTATTTATTTTTTATATCTCCTTCGCTGTCGGCTGTCGGCTGTCGGTAACCACTCTGTGTGCTGTGCTGCGCTGTCTGTCTGTTGCATGTTCTTGGCTGGCGCGTCGAAATTGCCCATGGCGTGCAGCGGAAGAACGGGCTATTCAAGAAGGCATATGAGCTGGGAATGTTGTGTTCTGTGGACGTAGCAGTGATCATCTTCGGTGCGTTCAAGGCCGTTCTGTCGCGCATCTTGCGTCCCTGTTCTCACACACCTGCCTGCTCTATTTTTGGAACACTATCTTCCTGCTCGATGTCAACGGCGGCATGTCGATTCCCTTCTTCGTCTGACGCGCCCTGACCGCCCCGGGGCAACTCCCGATGCCGATGGCCGATGACGCCAATGATGACGACGCCGCTGCAGAGGAACGGGCCGGCCACCATGTGAAGCTGCACGAGTACTGCTCGACCGACGTCGACAACATGGTCCAACGACACATCCATGTGTGTACATGTCTTTCGTGTTTCCTTTCTTTGCCATGCGCCCCGCCCGCTGGTCATCGCAGCTGGCCCCTTTCTCCTAGTCTTCACGCCAGCCATTGACTCATTATTTTATCCCTATTTCTTTTTACATTTTATTTTGTTTACTTTGTGTGACTGCTTGCTGACACTCGCCTGTTCTTCTCGCACTCTCCCTTGTGGACTTTACTGTGGCCCCCCAAACGAACTGTGTAATGTGTGATGTGATGCAATGCCGCCCATGGACGCGTCGACCCCCGTATGTCCGATGATCGCCCCCAATGCACCACTCTCTCATATCGCCCCCCGCGCTAAATTGCGGTCACTGCGGTCTATCTATCCATCCTCTCTCGCTACCGTTCTTCTGCTCCTGCCCTCTGCACCCGGCCGCACAGCCGCACATCTCGCCTGCATTGTGTTTCACTACACGGCCTTCGCGGGCTTCCTTGGTCCCTCACAATGCCTGCACGCGTCCGCTCGCACTTCCCGTTACTATCACCTCCACAGTCTGTCTGATCGGCACGCTCCCTGTCCCCCTATCCATACATCACGCGTCCGGTTCGGTCGACCTGTATTGTCGTAATGTTCTGGCATGGCTTTTTCTCACTAGTTTGACAGGGAACAAGAATCTAAGCATCCAGCTGACTTTAGCAAGCAACCAGACGATGGTGCTCATGATGACGACGACGACGATGATGAAGGTCCGAGGCCCTCAGGTTCTGGAGGCGCTTCTTCAGCCAGACAGCCCAGTGGATCTTCTGGAGGAACTATGGGAGGCAATGTGGGTATGAGTGGAAGAAATAAGAGTGGTACAGGATTTAATAGTAGTTCTAGTAAATACTTTCGCCTGTAATTATTTACTCAAGTATAATATATTTGTTTTCTAATTCAATAATGATAAAAAAGAATGATTATTGTATGAAGCATTTATTGTTTGAGCAACTCTGGTAAGAGCTTGTATTCTCACTCAAGTCTTGTATACTCACACAAGTCTTGTATACTCTGACAATTTATAAAAGTATTGTAAATTTTAGAAGTCTTACAGACCTTCTAAAGATACATCTTAGCAGCAGATGCTAATGTAATGATCATTGACAGACTTCTATATCTTTTATATATTATAGTTATTAGAATGATATACAATGTATTGTCAGACCACATCCAGTTTTGTGATGCAGATTAGTACAGGGACCAGTTCCTTCTCTGCTTTAACTCCAAAATACTAGTTGACTGTTGTACTAACACAATCTTTAAAGCAGGCAAAATAAATACTATCACTAAGTCACTTCTCTCTTAAACATTCTGTCAGCAACAGTGTAGAGGGGACCCAAAGGCTCAGCAAGGGGACCCAGGCTACAACTATCCTACACAACAGAAATACAGAACACAAGTACTGGAACATAGTTAGAACTTGCAGAACAGACAGAGAGAGAGAGTGTGAGACAAGAGTAGAGTATATAGAGTGAGCCTAAGAGTACAGGACTACCTAGAGTAGACAAGATCAAGACTACAGAACCAGTCTGATCTTGTATGCCTATATATACTAAACTACACAAGAGTACTCAGGGAGTATGAGCTACTAAGAATGATAAGCTACAAAGAATAAAAGAAAGGGAGGTCAAAAATAAAGGTACAAAGAATAAAGGGATAGACAAAGGGTAAGAGACTGTAGAATGAACAAAGAATGAAAGGGTGGTCAAAGGAACAGAATGATAAAGTAAGGAGGGGTAATAGTGAGAGTCAGTCTGTATATAGTTTATAAATAGTGCTCCTGAGGGATGGAAGTCCTGAGTTCTTGTACAGAAGGGTACAGAACCCTTAGAACTGAAGGTACAAGAGTAGAGAACTATAACATCACCCTCTCTCTAAAACCAATTGTCCTGATTAGTAAACATTAGGCTTGGTTAGTAGTTTAAGTATAGGTTAGAACAGTAGGGCTTAGAAATCTGTAAGGCTGAGTTTGTGTAGAGTACTAGGATGAAGCTAATAAAAGTCTCAGATTGCCTTAAGAGTATGAGTAAGGTTCTTAGTAGGTTCCCAAGTGTACTCTTCAACTGGGTACCCTTTCTAGTAAACAAGGAATTTGAGTTTTCTGTGTAGTAGCTTAGTATCTACTATGTACTCTACTTTGTATTCTAGTTCAGAACTGATAAGTTCTAGTAGAAGTAGTAGGGGTCTTTATTGTGAAGGAAAACTCAGATTGTAGTACTAAGACAATAGAGTCTTATTAAACACTAAGTGTATACACTTTTATGTTACTAGAAGTTAGAGTTTGTAGACAGAGACACTAACCTTCTTTTTAATGACAAAGGGTCTGAAGTGCTTGTTATCCAACTTCTTTATTAGGTGATCTAAGGTCAGATTAGTAGCTTCTAGTATAACTTTATTACTAGACTAGTAATCCTTGGCTACAGACCTCTTCCAATCATAGTTCTACTTTATAACCTATACTACCTTCTTTAAAAGAGCTTGTGTATCCTCCCTAGTCTTGTATATCTGTTCTACAAAGTCTGTTACAGATTCAGAACTACTATTCTGGTTCAGAACTGTCCTCTAGTACAAATGTCTTTTATAGTTGAGGAAGAACAGAGACTGTCCTATTATAGAGTATTACTAGTTATTGTGTACAAATTCTGTCAGAGTTAACTATTCAGACTAGTCTGACTACTAATGATTAATAAACATTTAGAGATAGAGCTTAATCTTCTGATTGACTTACTCAGTTTAACTATCAGTCTGTAAGTAATATGTAGTAGAAGGGTTCCCTTAAATTCTGAGAAGTACATACAAGTCCTATATGAATTTTGACTCAAATTATAGTCTACAATTGTAAATAAGCTTCTGAGAGAGTCTATACAACTAGAAGACATAATCCTAATAGATACACACTATACTTTTAAAAGTGAGCTCTGTTTAGGTTAGAACTATATAAACTTGCTTAGAGAATCAGTCAACAATCACACAGATAGTATTGTATCCCTGAGACTCAGATAGCTTACTAATCAGGTCTACTAAGACTTCCTCCTAAGAGTGATTCAGGATCTGATACAGATGTAGAAGAGTCTAAACCCTTGTCTGGTAGACTTTAGTCTGTTAGTATGTATTACAACTAGTTATGTACTTTAGGATTTCTCTCTGTATTCCTAACTACTAGTAGTTCTGAGTAATGAGTTCCTGTGTTTTGTGTCAGTCTAAATGTCCTATAGTTAGATTATTATAATAAGCTTAGACAATGTCCTCCTACAGCTTCTAATCCTTTAGAATGTATAGTTGGCCTTTCTAGTAAACTTGTCTATCCTTATCCTCCTCCTAATCTCTAGCCTGCTTCTCTAGCTACTTTACTATAACTTAGTCCTGTGTGTGTCTTAGAGCTTACTGTATACAGGTAACAAAGTCAACATCCTTGAATTCAAGTCAGATCTCTTAGATTGTCTTAGATACAAAATAGGAATTGTTTAGAAGAACAAGATTTTTGTTATCATTCTCCCCCCTTTTATAATCTACTTGTCTTAAGAGTAAATCAGTTTTTGTCATTTGTGTTCTAGGTTTGTAGGTTAGTACAAAGTTATAGTCTTACAGTTCTAACATCTAGTAGGCCTAGTAGTAGTTGAGCTTCTAAGATACTCAGAAGTACTAGAGATTAAGGTAATCACTTCAAATCTTAAACTTCTACACAGTACTAAGAAGATATTAATACTACTCCTCTAAGGAACAGACAATTGTAAGGAGTTCCTTATTATAGATAGAGTAGTTCTGTTCTGTTACAGAGAGGGATTCTAATTGGAACACTATCAGACACTACTTTCTATTAATGAACTAGAACAGTACTACTCTATTTGTAAAGTTGGAAGAGTTAGCTTTAACTCAGAACTTGTCTACAACTGTTAGAACAGCTAATACAAGCTTACTAGTAATAGCCTACTTAAGGGACTCAAACACAGACTACTACTAATTACTCTATTACTAAGGAACATCTTTGCTAGTAAGATTATAAAGGGGCTGAGTAATAGTACTAAAGCCTTAAATAAAGTATTAGTAGTAGTTTGTAAACCTAAGGAATACTTAGACCTGTTTCAGGTTCTAAGGTTGTAGCTAGTTCTGAACTGTAGTTACCTTTGCCAGATCTATACAGACTTCTCCTCCCCTGATTACAAAGCCTAGATAATCTACTGACTCCTGTATAAAAGAACACTTTACTTCTTAGAGAAACAGTTTATTATCTTAGAACTGTTACAGAACTACTCAAATTAGTTAGTAATAGTGCTTGACTGTCTGAGTAAAGATCAGAATATTGTCTAGATACATACTAACATACTCTGAGTCAATCAGATCTGTAAAGTTGTGATTCATGAATGACTAGAATATTGTAGGTAAGTTAGTTAGTCTGAAGAACATTATAGTTAGTTTATACAATTTACAATTAGTTTAGAACATAGCCTTCTACTCATCTCTGTCTTAGATTCAAATGTTATTGTATCCTTATCAAATATTTAACTTAGTAAAAACCCTAAATGTATGTGTTTTATTAATGAGCTCCTGAATCAGGGAGAGTAGGTACTTGTTATTAATAGTACTTTTATTAAGGTAACAATAATCCTAGACTAGGTAGAGCTTCCTATCTTTTTTTTTGACAAAGAAGAAAGGGGAGACTATAGAGGACTTTAAGGGTTAGATCTGACTGTTCTAAAGATTTTCCTAAAAGAACTTGTTAAGCACCTTCTACTTGTCTCTATTGAGTAGGTAGACCTTACAATCCTTAGGTTAGAAACTCTTAATCAATTCAATTGTATAGTTCTAAGAGTGTATTCAGAAAGCTAGTCAAATTCCTCTTTACTAAAGACTTTAGGGAACTCTTAGACAAAATCTAGTAGGCTAGGTTTATGTGTGTTCTAAAGTAGAGTTGTTCTGAGAGGGTTCTAGACTGGTTCTGTCTCAGACATCCTTTAGATTGACTCTGTTTTACCTTGACTAGAATATGTGTTCACATATCCATCCTAGTTAAAGAAGAACAACTGGTCACCTTTATTAGAACTGTTAGTAATATTAGAAGTGTTTGTATTTACTTAGGACAGTAGTGTAAG